ATCCACGAAATCACCAAAGGCGTCCTCATCGTCGACGGGAACGTCGCTCTACCTGCGAAAAGCGTATTCTTTGTTAAATTATGGAATAAATCCAGAAAAATACGAACACCCATGTCAAGTCGAGAACTTAACTTAATATAACATGAAAAAGTGACCTTAGCCCCTACGTTGTGATGCCAAAAATCAAATAACGGGTTTCACTCTATGAAAATGTGTATCGCTCCTTCTATGATGCCGCAGCGGGAGCCGGGAGGCATCACCACTGGGTCCTGCATATTCAGACTTTTCTTTTCTTGTGTCTGCTGTGCATGTCTCTCTGCATGCAAGCAAATATTGTTTATTGAATTGGAACCGGTACCAACAGCGTAGAGAGTAGTGCTCCAACCCTTTCTTTATTTCAAGCACTAGGTCTTGGAACATGTTGTTGAGGGTGGAGGGCCTTATGACACAACACAGGGATAATCTTGTGAGTTACTGCACGTCCAATTGTGCGTGTAGTAATGGTGTCCCCTTACACACTTATTTCGAATGAAGCTAGTGAAGCTAAAGCTGTTTTTTGAAAAAAAAAAAACATTAGGTAAAACAACTTTTCAAATAAGATAGCAGATAGAGGATTGTGAGAAGCTAATATTTTAACTTCGCCTGGGGATCTATGTGAGAGAAGTTAAAAATAGATTTGTGGAGCTGCGGGAGAATCCGTACTAAAGATGTCCTAAAGAGACGCTGGAGTAGATATTATTATATATATAGGTCTAAGGCAATTCTTAGACGTGACCACAATATATCATCCTTAAGTTTTCTGGCCCAACCTAGGGTGGCAATTGGCATTGGGCCAAAATATATACTCCCTACCGGCCCAAAGGAGCACAAACACTTCCCTCGACCCCCGAGACCGGGGACGCGCCGCAATCTCCTATTCTCCTCCGTTCCTTTCCGCCGCTCACCACCAGCGGACGTGGATCTCCACTTCTCCAGGCTCTTCGCTGCTGCCAGGCCGCCATGGCAGGTCTCGGACTTCCAGTTCGCGCGGCCCCTGCGGAGGCCCTGGAGCGCTTGCGCGCTGCCGCGTTGGGCGGCTTTGCTGCAGGCCGCGGCCGCCAGCCGCACCGCACCGCACTGGCTGCCTGGGAGCCTGGGCGGTAATCGGTGACCTGGTCTCGCACACTCGCGCGGCTTCGCGGCGTGGCCGCGTGGGCACTGCAGCACGGGACGCGGCCGTCGGCAATAGGCAGAGGCGGCGTAGACACTTGACTTGAGGCTGGTTTTTAACTAGAAACAATGCGCGGCGTTGCCGCGCGCTTGTCTGTGTTGGGCCAGCCCGCATACGTGAGTGAGTTTATACCGAGACCATCAGTGTGGGATGGGCCCATTTGCTTGGACTACGTCTTGGATAGAAATGATTGTATACATATTGGTGTAAATAATGTGTATAAGATGGTTCTATTTGTAGAAGAGATAAGATTCTGACAACTGTAACTACGTGGCACTAAAGTTGAGAATGTAATCGCTTAATTTGTTGCATAGACAGTAAAGCATTTTGATTTATGTAAAAGGTACAGATAATTTTGGAATAAGGAAAAACCGAAGCATTGATTTAAGGTTTGTCTATAACTGAGAAGAAAAAGGTGTGTCTATAACTGATAAGAAAAGAACAAATGGAGTTTTCTTATGTAAAGGTATTGTACCGCCGTTTTCAAGATTGCAAGTGCACTTGCTTGCTCACCAGCAAGGACAACCGTAAAAAAATAGGGCAGATGCGCCTGATACTTATTTTGTGGTGTATTGAACGGAGGCCACTTGTGCAAGTTGATTCGTAGAATCACATACAGATGCATCAACAGAGAGTCAGAGACAGGTAGGTAGCAAGACAGAGAGACGATAACCAAGAAGTCAGTAGCAGCAGCAAAGAGATCAGAATTTTTTTCAAGGCACCATCAGTGTGAAGTGCAATTAGGAAATTAAAAGAAAAGGGTAAATCACTTAGCAGTGGTTGCTCTGTGCTGCCAGTTTTGCTTTCTTTGTAGCGGGGTGACCCTGAATTATTGATCCTTTGTGTAATTACAATGGTGTACTTTGATTTTTTTTTTCTGTGGGTGAGCAAACTTGATAGATGAGCATGCATGCTTGGTTTCAATAACCGATTGGAAGTAAAAAGATTGTTTCGTTAGCAGCATATGAAGAAACCATTGTTACCAACCAGGTGTTACAATGTTACCAAGGCCCATGGAGAATGGGCGTGCAACATCTGAGACTAAGTTCGCTAAAAAGATCGAGCCTCACTTATCATAATTGGAGTGAAGAGCACCAAGAAAATGTGGTACAAAAATAAACAAGCTGAAAATGCAAGAATGCATTCACATATGATGATATGATGCCAATGAATGAACAAAGAATGTTTCAATGGTAGCATGTTCAAACAATTTGCATAAATCAATGAAGGAAGAACCGATAAGATGCTTGTAACCATTATTTTCAGAAATAGTGCAGCCAAAATGCAAAGGCTCAATTACTTTACAGTTATTATTATTAGAGACCAATCTGAGGTTGCATATTTATCAGATAATCTCTTTAATAGGAATCTTGCACCAGAAGGAATGATCATAATCCAAATTTTATTAAATTCCAATAAAAGCAGCATGCAAGGTCATAGAACTTAGAAGCTTGTTAGAAATGGAACATACATCACATACAACGTATTTGTACATTTGTATTACAACATTGTGACTGGAACCTTCAGATATATATATGTGTTGATAACTGACCAAGTGCATAATTCTAATCAATGAGGCATTGAGCTTGATTTGGCCCAAAATATTAGTAAAATTAATTACTTGCTAGCTAAGATATGAAATAATTTAGATACTTGGCCTCCGATTGGATCTCTTGAGGAACCTGCATTATAAAATCAATAACTTCTCTTAGAGGCATTAAATCAATGTCTAAGTAAAGTACATGGAAAAAACAAATAAGTATATCACGCATGGCTCAAATAGGCACATAATGCATTCGAAACGTGCAATATTGCTCCTGCTCTCACATTGGTTTCAATTAAAGAACAATAATTGACATACTTCGGAAAGCAAAACATATTTGACGCCCTCCTTATTTGCACAGAGAGAGTAAATCAGAAGAGAGAGCCCTCGCTGATGATAATGTGATGAAAACTTGGGAACTAATAGCAGTGGATAATAAAATTAACTACATATATAAGTAGAGAAACATAGAATATATCTAAGCAACACATACATGGTCATTCCTTAGTTTGCAGAATTCTTTGTCATGCCAGGGACATCGAATCATTTGTTCTTGCAATGGGCGAGCTGGAGAAGCTGTTAGCAAGTTCAAAGAGGCTAGGATGGTGAGGTGACACAACATGGAGGAATGGAGAGCAATTCTGTTGCAAAAGAAGTTGGACAACCAAGAGAATTACAAAATGGATGGCTGAGGTAGAAGCAAACAGCTCTTGGAGTTTCAACATCAGTTAGTGAAGATTGCTTTCTTGTCTGGATCCTATAAATGTAAAAAACTGTTTGACCTGAAATAACAAGGAATCTAAGCTTAAGGTACATATATTTGTCATTGAGTAATTCTAAGCAACAATTCCTACTTATCTGCAGATGCTTTAAGCCAAAAATATTACCAACTGTAATGTGACATGTTTTAGATGGATACCAAGAGCACCGAAACCTAGCCCAAGCTATAAAATATAGGCAGCAGGAAACATGAATTATTCCATTAGTATTTTCAGATGTCGAGAAATATCTGTCCTATTTTCATCCCTAATACATATAGGTCTTTGTATGAATTGGAAAAAAAAATATTGCCAAGACTGATGTTGGTGCTTAAGTTAATTTAAAATGTGTCCCATGAGTTGCTTCACATAAATCTAACTGAAAGAGGTGTATTATCTATAATAAGATGAACTTAAATCGTATCTAAATCCTCTAGAATGGTGACCGGATGCCTGTACTCCTAGTTTATAGAGTACAAAAAAGTAAGAAAAACTGAGGGGAGGTTTTAATATTTCTGCACTAAAAAAATCTCCATTGGAATCTCTATTTGTAGACTTATCAGTAGTTGTTTTTTATCTTCCCATGGCTCTGATATGAGGACGTCCCTGAAACGAATGATGCATACTCTATTTTATTTGAAATCGATGTCATTCTAGCAGATCAATCTCTATAGAACATTTAAATAACTGGAGGATGGAATAAGACACTTTGTACCTTAAATATGCTGCCGTATCTAGGAGGGTCATTTAATCGAGTGCCTTGCCTGCATATTCTGATAGAGGAAGTTGGAAAAGCACAGATCGAAGGAGAACGCACAAACATGTGACTTGGAATGAAATTTTGGGGTTGAAAACTGAATGGGGATTGATCCAAATAAACTCCTAAGACCAAAAGTATTCGTTAATGAAATTCTATTCCAAATCTCTAGCTAGCTAAAAATTAGCTCATGGTATCCAAACATGCCCTAAACACTGATGTTAGGGAATTTAGTTCGTATGGTGTTAGGCTATCAGAAGCATACCCGAGCAGGAGCCAGTGAAGATACCCAATCTGATGGATTTGTTGGAAGAAGGCCCAATGTATTAAACTGCAGAGGCAGTCATATCAGAACTTCAAATGCTTAGAGAAATTACAAGATAATTATGGGTGTGCATTTTAGTTTTGTGAATAAGGCGATGTTTTATGCTTGTAACCCTTGTACAGTTTGTAAATTATACACAACACTAATCATTCCTAAAAGGCTAAATTGAGTTCCTGTGAATTATTTTATTTACTAGTTCTGTAACATATATACTATTGCAAATGTGCAATTCAGACAAGAATGTGTGTGCCAGAAGCAAGTCATAAGGGTACCTTTTATGCTGCTGCTCATAACTAGCATCACTGTGAACTTGGTGAATGAATAGCATAAAACACAGACAAATCATGGGATGGCTAAAATTTTCGTGATCGGCTTGCTTCTTTTCTCTAGTAATACACTCGAGGACATCATCGTGTTCTCTTCAGTCTTCCGTTGGTGCCCGCGCGACTTCCCAAGCTTTCTGTTCACATCAGGGAGCACACACAGTTAGACAGCAATTCCAAAGCCTAGAACTACTTAGACGCTAGCTCTAGATAATCACTGAGGACGGCAAGATTATCAAGATCTGAGCCTCTCGCAAAACTGAAAGATATGGTTATCCTATCGTAGCGGGTAGGTCGCGCTGCGCGGCCTGGATCTACTAGACCAAGCACAAATCTGGCACCGAACGAACGAACCTGCGCCTTCCATGCAGTCTCGGAGTCCTTGCGCTGGCGCGCACCCGCGGCGTCGTCCTGCGAGCCAGAGCAAGCACGTGAATTGCGGGATACAGAGCCAAACCAGCGAAAAGGACGAACGGGGAGGAGTAGGGGTTGCCGCGTCGGGCGCGGATCTGGTGAAGCCGGGCGGGTCGGGGACGGTGGGGGAGGAGGAGGAGGCGTCGGGGAGCTCCACCGCCCAGCGGCGAGCTAGGCCCTTTCCCTTCTCCATCGCCGGCGCGCCGATGCTCGGAGATCGACGACCTGGTGCTCCGCCGCTGGCGTTTTTGCGGCCGGCTGCGTCTGGGATCGAGACGGGGACGGTCGCACGACGCGGAAGCCCAAGCGGAAGTGACCATTGGGAAGGATGTGGACATTGGACACCATGGAGGGGGAGAGCAGCGGCCGGCGGCGATACGCAGGCAAGAGGCAAGGGCGAGGGGAACGGGCAAAGGTCGGCCAGTGATTTCGGTAAAGTTCGAGGGTTTTTTTACAAAAACAAAAACCTGAGAGGAGGCCTGGACTGCGGGTTGATTCGACTAAAGTTTGAGGGTTTTTTTGAAAAAAAAACACGCCTCGCACGCTCTGGGCCGTCCGCGCGCCAGATCCGACGGCCGGGAACGACTGATGACGTGGCCACTCTCGCCGGCCAGCTTTTGGACCCAGGATTCATACGTAAAGATTAGGTAAATTCCATATTCTCAAATCCAAGCTTTATTTATTATTGAACTCCCCGATGTGAAAATTCATTAAATGAATGGTCAATTTTTGTACAGCTGCAATGTTGAACTTCCCAATCTAAAAATTCCGTAAATGATCGATTAATTGATTAGGTCTTTGCAAGTATCAAATATGAAGATATTTTATACAATTTTCTATAATTGAAGTCTTGCGTGAAAATTTTACCTCCATTATTGAAATAGAGGAAGTGGTAAGGTATGTTGCATTGATACATTCTTACCATTTTTGTGATTTTGTTGAATAATCAATTCTATTTTATTGATTGCATTGGTAGGTCTCTTTTTTACCAATTTTGTGTTTTCACCCATTATGTTATGGATTTAAGCATGGAAATGAGATATCATCTAAACTTATGCATGTATAGGCCAACACATTTATTTTGTGTAGTATAGCAACCAACAGAAAAGACCCAACTAATTTCTTCTCTATTAATATATACTAGGCAAAACTCTTGCCGGCACCTTTTTATTAAAAAAGGCGCAACTAGTGGAACGACAGTTTCCATTAAAACTAAAAAATGCACCTAAAGTTCGAGTTAAAAGGGCTCAAACATGGGTGGTTATTATGCACGACCAGCACCCTCCGGAGCCAACAAGTTCTTGTAGTATAGCAAACATCACAACTATGTTTACTTGTCCTAGTTGTCTGGTCCATTTCCGACGCTGCAAAGCTCGAGGAATGTATGCTTGACATGGAGTATTGCAGCAGAAACTTGTTCCATTCCTAATCGAGCTCGTGATGATGGCATGGAGCACATGAGGCCCAACTTTACCATTGGGAGGATGCAGTTCTGTATCATTTCTGGATTCCCACCATCCAGATCATTTTGTAGCATAGCAGGATCCAAAATCTCTGCTACGCCATGGGGACAATGGGCAGCCACATGTTTGTGAAGGTTCATCCCATCCTTGAATTTTTCATCAGTGGGACACTTTCCGGTAAACATCTCTAACAAAAGCACACCGTAGCTGTACACATCACCCATCGTTGATATTTGCGCACCCATGCCATACTCTGCATTTGAATTAAATTTTAATAAGGAAAAAAGAACTAATATAAGCAACTAATATATGCCAATATGATAGTGTGGTTTGCATAAATCTTATTACCTGGTGCAATATATCCAATGGAACCTTTTAGGTTGCCCAAACTCGTAGAATTAGCAGGTAGTGCAGTTGAATTAGCACACATGAATCTCGCTAACCCAAAGTCACCTACATATGCAGTCATTTCAATATCCAAAAGAACGTTGCTTGGTTTCAGGTCACAATGTATTACTGGAGTTGCGCACTGGTTATGGAGATAGTCTAAAGCATGTGCAATATCCAGTGCTATGTTGATCCTTTCACCCAAGGTTAGGAATCTTTGCTTATCATAACCATGGTCCTCTGGATGTAGCCACCTTTCGAGGCTCCCATTAGGCATATACTGGAAGATAAGCGCCTTGAAATCTGAGCCAGTTGGATCCACCGTAGAGCACAAGGTAATGACTTTGACAAGATTCCGGTGGCGAGTATTTCTTAATGCTTGGCACTCTGCAACGAAACTTTTTGGTGATCCATATAGGTTCTGGTTGAAAACCTTAATGGCAACGGGATCAGTGTTAAATGGCAAAATGCCTTTGTAAACAGCCCCAAAGGATCCCAAGCCAACCAAGTTTAGTGGAGAGAACCCATTTGTGGCCTTGGCAATGTCTTGATACGTTATTTTGTCTATATGCACACTGGAGTGTTGCAAACCTCCTGGCTCCCCTTTTCTCCTGACAATAATAACCACAAAACATAACAGCAAAATTATAAAAGCAGACAATACAACTGGGACCACTATCTTCCAAACAGCAGGCTTGTTTTCTCCCTTGTATCTCAATTCTGGGCAAAGGGACAGACTTGACCCTGGAGCATTTGAGCATAACCTGTGCTTTCCTTTGAGGGAGACCCTGCTGGAATTGCCAAAGATACCCCCTGATGGTATTGGTCCCTCTAGATCATTGAACGAAAGATTGAGTGACTGCACAGAACTCAGCGATGCCAGGAACTCTGGAATTTTTCCTGACAAGTTGTTCTGAGAGAGATCCATTTCCGTGATGCTTTTCAAGTTCATGATAGATTGTGGAATATTTCCAGTAAGAAAATTCCCTTCCATGTGAAGAACTTCCAAAACCACACACTTCCCTAGGGTGGATGGAATATCGCCAACCAAACGGTTGTTGGAGATACTAATGCTTACAAGGTTGATGAGGCTGCCAACCTCCATTGGTATGGGCCCAGTAAAAAAATTATCTGACAAGTCCAAGCTTTGTGAGAGTGAAGAAATACTGAAGATGGCACTTGGCATGCTTCCATCGAAGGAATTATGAGAGAGATTCAGCTTCTCTAATTGTCTCCATGGACCTAAACTCTGAGGTATCCCCCCACTGAAGTTGTTCCCATCCAGATGAAGCTCGTACAGTTGGACAAGGTTACCAATAGATTCTGGAACATGGCCTGAGAGCTTATTTTGTGCAAAGCTTAGAATCAGTAAATTGCTCAGATTTCCTATGGTATGCGGGATGCTTCCTGTGAACAGGTTCAGATCCATTAACAGTACCGTGAGGCCCGTAAGGTTTCCAATCTCCAATGGAATTCTTCCAGTGAATTTGTTTTGTTTGAGCCACAGCTCTTCGATCTGAGAGGGAAGGTCACCAACAGCACTTGGCAGGCTTCCTCGCATACCGTTGAGTGCAGTTTGCAAGGGATGAGAGGAAGCTCCAGTCACCAGCTTCAAGTTGGTTGTTGGAAAGATCAAGGCCCCGCAGGTTTGACAAGGACCCAAAGGATGGCACTGTCCCAGTGAGTTCAGTACAACAAAGATAAACCATTTCCAGCTTGGATGCATTTGCAAGAGAAGCTGGGAGTGGCCCATTCAATTGTGTTGTTGATAGGATCAGGCTCTGCAGATTTGGAAGCCTGTAGCCAATGTCTGGTGGCAGGCGAGCGGTGAGCGAGTTGTTGGCCATCTTGAGAATTTTCAAAGATGAAATGTTGAAAATCGGCTGGGGCACTGTTCCAGACAAGTTGAATGTGAGAATCAGTCTCTGGAGAGAAGGAATATTGCTTAGGCTCTCTGGGATGGTTCCAGCTAAGTTGTTTATCGCAAGTGACAACCTAATCAGAGAGGAAAGGTTGCCCAGTGAGGCTGGTATTTCACCGGTAAGACTATTACGAGATAGAACTAATATTTTAACAGGTGCTGCAGTTGCAGTGACAGGTGGTATAGAACCAACTAGATTGTTTTTGTCAAGGTGAATGGTAGTCAGCGTAGAGGTGTTGAAAAGTGACGGAGGGATCTCTCCGGTAAGGCCATTTTGCATGAGCCTAAGCACTTGAAGACGTGTACTGTTTGCCCAGAATTCTGGAATCCCACCTGTCAGCTGATTGACACCAAGGTCGACACTGATAAGAGATGGGCTGCTGCCCAACAGCAAAGGTATATTGCCTGTGAGGGCATTGGTAGACAGCCCAAACCCAGAGGGAATGCTTCCTTGCAGCTTATTGTTGTTGAGTGCAACTTGCTGGAGGTGAATGCAATGGTTTAAGTCTGGTGGGATCTCACCTTGGAGAGAGTTGATGCTCAGGTTGAGGTAGATGATTTGGCTCAGGCACCCAAGCTCAGCTGGGATGCTTCCATGGAATCCATTGCTTGACAAGTCAAGGCTTGTAATGGAGCTTAGGTTGCCAATGCATGGAGGTATGGCACCGCCGAGGCCTTCAGAACTGAGGTTTAGCGCGATGACTCGCTGTGGCGTCTTTGAGCTGCATCACTACGCCAGATTCGCACAGTAGGAACGGGGGCATTTTTACTGTACGGGCGGCTGTGGTTGAGGGCGCCCCTACAGTGGGCGTCCTCGGGCCCCAGCAGCCCAGCCGCCCCTACAGTTGGGGCTGATCTGTAGGGGCGGCTCAATCACCAGCCGCCCCTGCAGTGCCCATTTGTAGGAGCAGCTGCCACCAGCCGCCCCTGCTGTTCGACTGTAGGGGCGGCTGAATCACCAGTCGCCCCTACTGATGGCATACGAATAAATAGCAGCCACCCCCTTTTTCCACCTCGGGACACACTCTTCTACAAAAAGAAAAGTTGGGAGGCCTTGGGCTCCTCCTAAAAATTGCTCTACTAAGGGAGATGTTTTGATCTCAAATCCTTTGGTGGAGAGGCTCTAAAAGGTAAGAAAATGCTTCTCCAACTCTTTATTTGAAGTTTAATTCGTTGGTTAGTGAGTAATTTGATTTTTGGTTTTCTCTCTCTTTCATAGAGCTTGAGCTAGTTATGAGTGAAATTGGACCCTAATTTTTACTATACTAGGATAAATTAGGTAGGGAAGTAAGATTACACCCTTTGTTAGTACATCTTTGTTGATTTTTGTGTAGTATTATTGAAGTTTGGTGCATGTGTCATGAAACCCTATATCTAGATCTAGATCTAGGATTTTGTTTTTTTTCTTTTTCAATTTTTTCT